TGGCTTTTCCTCGGCGACCCATTTTCTCTCTCTTTCTTACCTCTGGTGTTCTTCTTCGACTGTTCTTCGCTCGCCAAGTGTTCTTCAAAGGCTTCAATGGCTTGGTGAGATGAGTTCACGGTTAGGCGAAGAGTCCCACCTGAACCAGAAACTCGTGTAACAGTCGAAACACTCTCTCAATGGAGACCCAGCACACACATATCTCCTCTCTCTTGCAGACACGAAAACCATGCCACACATAACACCATTAACACACACACACCCAGCAACCACACTCATACACAACCACACACACACATAGCATACACACACCAAAACCAGATTTCTCTTCTCTCTCTAAGACAACCCAGCGCATAACACACATACACTGATACACGCACCACACACACACAGTGATACACACACACAGCACACACAATGCACACAGTACAAACGGCACAGATTGGGACATCAACACACATGCATCTACTGGTCTCTCTCTCTCTCTCTGTCGGTGGATTTTGGGAGTTGAAAAGATCAACACAGACCTCTCTCTCTCTAGTTGAAAAAAACACCAAAATATATATATATATATATCTCTCTCTCTCGTGAGGGAATTAAAAAAAAGGGAGGGGATAGACTCACACACAAGAAGGCAGCAGCGGCTCTCTCTCACACACAAACAGCACAACAGACACCACCGCTGCCATTACCCATCACACCACCTTCCTTCCGAATCCTGAGGACCAAAACACCGGCCGATGTTTTGGAAACTATGGCGGCGGAGAGAGGGGCTGATTTTCTGGAGAGTGAAGATAGTTTTATGGTGGTTTTGCCGGAACATGACTCTACTCTGGAGGTGTTACCCGAAAACGCTGAGGTGGAGGTGAAGGTGGAGGGAAAGGAAAGGAATGAGTTGCCAGAAGAGAAGACGGCGGCGCCGGAAGCGGCGGTGGTGTTGCGGAGTTCGGCGGCGAACAACCACAGGGGTTTGGCAAGGAAGGTACTGTCGTGGTAGTGTACGTGTATCAGTGTGTGTGTGTTATGCGCTGGGTGTCTTAGAGAGAGAAGAGAAAGCTGGGTTTGGTGTGTATCAGTGTGTGTGTTAACCTCCAAACACACCAACCCAGCCCAATAAAAAACCCCTTACAGCGCTTTGCCATTCTGTGACACCCTACCAATGTATCACATGCAACACACCACACATCCATTCACTAATTACGCACGTGAGCGACACACGTGCCTCACCCAATTTCCGCCCTACAGCTGCATCAGCAATGGTTAGATGAGGGTAATTACATCCCTCACATTTGAATGGGACTAAACGGTTTAATTGAATAAAAATGGGATCAATTGGTTCATAAGTTCAAATTTTGGAATTTATTGGTAAATCCCCCTACAAAAAATAATTTTATCAAATAGTTATAAATATAAAAACAAATTATATTTTGTTTTATAAAATAGATAGAGAGTTTTTTTGATAAATCTCATTTCTAAGAGTTTTATTCCATCCAATCCATGTTCTTTTTTTTTTTTTTATTTCCTTAGATTCTATTTGAGATAAGAAGACCAAAACACCATCAATTTCTCTTGTCTCTATTAATGTTGATATTTAATGTTGATTGTCATTACGTTTTGGTAGTTCTTATGGCCATTCATGTTCCCCATATCTTCACTCTCAAAAAAATGCATAATTACAAACCCCTATTTAATGTTAATATATATTACACATAAAAAATTAAACATTGGTTTTTTATTGATTGTCATTATGTTTTGGTAGTTTCCATGCATCCAAATGTTGACTGTACATGATGACGTAAATGTTCATATTAAATGATGTGAATGTGAATATTCACATCAGATGACGTTGTGATAAAAATGATGTTAAGATTCACATCAGCATTGCATCAAATTATACAACTACAAGCCTCAACTTTCATTTGAATATAAACATAACTATACTTGATGACATAAATGTTCACATTAGATGACGTGAATGTAAATGTTCACATTAGATGACGTTATGATAAAGGTGATGTTAAGCTTCATATCAGCATTGCATCAAATTACACAACCATAAACCTCAACTTTCATTTGAATATAAACATGACTATACGTGATGACGTAAATGTTCACATTAGATGACGTGAATATGAATGTTCACATCAGATGATATTGTGATAAATGTGATGTTAAGATTTACATCAACATTGCATCAAATTACACAACCACAAACCTTAACTTTCATTTGAATATAAACATGACGTGTGAATATTCACATCAGATGCCGTTGTGATGAAGATGATGCGAAGGTTTATATCAGTAATGCATCAAATTACATAATCACAACCCTTAACTTTCATTCGAATATAAACATGATGTGAATATTCATAATAAAAATGGGGCAATTACATTATGTGTTGTCAATTATATAATGTTGATATTTAATGTTGATTGTCATTACTAATGATAATCACAATCACAAAAAGGGGGAATATAACATATTTTCACTGTTTAAAAATAAGAATATTCACATGTTGTGAACGTTCACATCACTATATTAGATGAGAGAGAATTTTTTGAAAATGTGTCATAAATGTTCACATCAGACGAGAGATAATTCTCAGGGCATTAAAACTATTAAAGAATTTTTCCAGAAAGGTGTCCATTTTATAAGATTATCAATTTTTTTAATAAGTTTGATGAAAATGGAGCTTTTTTGGTTTAGGATTTATGGACATTAAATATCAATATTAAAGTTTGATAAAAATAGAGCTTTTTTGGTTTAGGGTTTAGAGACATTAAATATCAATATTAAATATCAACATTAAATATAAGGACATAAAATTTAAGAAAATAGTATAAATCAAGAAAAAAGACTTTATGGAATAAAAATATATATACATGGGATTAAGTGGATTAAAAAATTCCTTCATGAACTTCTTAGGTTAGAACATTTTTAAATGAGATTTATTAATAAAAATTCCGTTTAAATTTACTTATTTTTATCATTTATTTTATAAAACAAAATATGATTTATTTTTATATTTATAATTTTCTAATGAAGTTGATTTTTAATATAAATACTCCCAAGTTTGAAAATATTAGTTTATTATTTTATTTTTTATTGTCCCAAAATATTAGTCTATTTTTTAAAAATTAAGGACTAAAATAATATAAAATTTTTATCGTGCCTTTCTTTTAAATTTATTAACAACACAAAAAGTATAATTATGATAATTGATATTTCTAAAAATATACTATCAAAAATAATTTTAGAAAAGTAATATTTTGGAAAGTACAATAATTATATTATAAAAAAAAAAAAGTTAGATTCCCAAAAACGAAACTGGAAGAAGAAGAAGAAGACGAAGAAGAAGAGGAGGCGGTGGCGGAGGAGACGAAGAACTGCCGCCGCCGCCTCCCAAACGGCAGAGGAATGAGAGTGTAGACCATATCAGCACATGGCGCGACAGACTTCTCCTTCACATTCTATCTTTCTTGCCCATGAAACAAGTTCTAAGAACTGGATCATTATCCAAAAGATTTCAATTTCTCTGGACTTCCCTATCAACCCTAGTTGTCAAGAATGAGTTGGACTTCTCTCAAGCGCTATCTCTCGAGTATGTGAAATTGAGCGATGAAGTGATTGCAAAAGTATTGTCAGGTTGTCCTGTTTTAGAATTCTTGAAATTGAAATCGTTCTGGCATAAATCGATTGAATATTGATTCGGCGAGCGTGAAAAAGGCTGTTATACAATGCTCAGTGGTTGAAAGGGATGACGAGTCTGTGCTTGAAATTTCGGCACCTAATCTTTGGACATTGGAGCTTTTGGGATCTTTTCACCGGAGAAAGTGTCGGCTAGTGAATGTTTCATCTCTTGTTGAAGCCAATCTCAATTTGACATTTGATAAAACTTGTGGTAGAGACAGTGAAGATGATAATTTACAGCAGTATAGCAAATTGAGTTAACTTGTTGAGGGAGTTGAACTTGTTGAGGAACTTCAATTGGGGACTTGGTGTATTCAGGTTTAATTCTTGTTCCTATTTTTCTCTTCACATTTTCTTTCTTGGCAGTTAAATATGATGTGCTGCTTAAAGTTTCAAAACTTGAAAGTATGAAACAAATTACAAAACTATTGGATATATCTTGGTTTGTAGGAGTGCAATGCCTTTTGCTTCGAGGATGCATTGGCAATTCTAAAGCTATTGGAAATGGGAAGTCTGAGAAGTTAGAAAACATAAAACATAAGTTACACCAAAGAATGTTGGATCCAAGATGTATTTGAAAAAGTGTTTGTTGTGGGTTCATACCGTGAATGAATCTTGGCCTTTGATTATAATCTCTGAGTAATTTTTTGGTTGTGTTTTTTGGTTGGAAATTTATGGAGACAAAAGAAAACAGAAAGGAAAAGTGAAAAAATATAAATTTCATTCAATTTTTTTTCCCCCTTCTCCCTCACAAATTCATCATCAAATCTTTAATCCAAACATAGCAGGCCTGTTTAGTGCAATTTCTTGTAAGTTAAAGTGAAAAGCATCTCTCCCTACCTTACAAATAATCATTTTTTTTCTCCTTTTTCATTTTTGTAAGATACTGCTTGAGCATTCAGGTCATCAGATTCTGTATCTGAATCTAACGCTAAAGGTATATGTGTTTGCAACATTTTAATTTACACTGAAAGATTGTTAAAGAGAGAGAGAGAAAAGAGAGAGACTGGAAAGACAGATTTGTATAATCACTATCTGTTATTATGTTTGTGTGTAAATACAAGAGAATGAGCCCTCTCTCTTTATAGAGAGGAGAGGGAGACAATTGGAATACTGAAGCACCGAAAGCATACACATATACATTAAAATAATACAAAGGCGTCTGTCAAAGCTGAAGGTGGTAGTGGGTGAGCTCTTTACAGCTTACAAATGCCAGCCTACAAATGCACTATAGTGTATAGTATATTATATTGTTAACAGATTCGGCGAGCGTGAAAAAGGTTGTTATACAATGCTCAGTGGTTGAAAGGGATGACGAGTCTGTGCTTGAAATTTCGGCACCTAATCTTTGGACATTGGAGCTTTTGGGATCTTTTCACCGGAGAAAGTGTCGGCTAGTGAATGTTTCATCTCTTGTTGAAGCCAATCTCAATTTTACATTTGATAAAACTTGTGGCAGAGACAGTGAAGATGATAATCATTTTTTTTCAGTTTATTTAATTTTTTATGCTAATACCCAATAAGTAGAAGTTGACCAATTTCAAAATAAATAAATATAAGTAACACATATAAATTGCACCAAACAACTACATCCTGAATAGTTTGAAATCATCTCTACTCCATCTCAATAATCAATTATTTTTTATTTAAAAATTGTTATGGAAAGTTTTGAAACTTATTAGAATAATTATAAACCATTCATTTTGATTTTTGTTGTTCTATTACAATTTTATAAAATAAAATTAGAGTTTTCCATTCCACCAGGATCACAATTCACTCTAAAACAACAAACAAAATTCAATTTTCATATGGCCAATAATAGGATTTATATATTTATTTATTGTTGAAATTGGCATTAATCTATTTGATTCTTTCAATTCTAAAGGTTCTATCAACAGCTAAAGTGGAAGATTTGCCCTCTCCAATGTTAAGCTGCAAAATGTTGACACTAATTACGCACATCAAGAAATGGGACATCTGTGGCATAGAAAGGCTTCTACAAAGTTCACCTTATCTAGAGACTTTAGTTGTGGATATGAGTACCCTTTACTACACAACGGTAAGATCTCCAAAACTGTTTTCTCATTTTTGTTTAATTCTGGAATCAGTTTTTGTATTTATAAACTCATTCAATTCTCTTTGGAGTAACTTCCTATTACTTTCTTTTGAACTTATCAATTTTTATATAGATCTTATCTCAAATTAATTCCTAGATAGGCCTTTGTACTCCTTGAGTGAGAATTTAAAAGGTCATGAGGTTGGAAGAATTTATCTTTTTAAGTTATGTCCCTAGATGTTTCTTGGTGCTGGACTCAAAAGATTATTTCCAAATAGGTAACTTTCTTTGAATCATTCATTCATTCTTTATCCCATGTTTGTTTCGGTGAAAATGTTTCTTACATTAGTTTGTGATCTTAATGCTGTGTTTGGTTGGGGGATTTGGAAAGGGAAATGAAAAAGATAGATGAAATGTGAATAAAACATGCCTATATTTCACCTAGTTTCACACGCCTTTTCCCTTTCCCTTTCCAAATCCCTCAACCAAACACAGCATAAAGCTAACCCTTTTGTTTTGTTTTTTTTATGGGTGTACCTTTGACATTTGATGAATGTAATTATGAATTATATAAGTTGCATACTGTACTAAAACTTGAATTGCAGTTCCAATTTTGCTCCAACTTTCTAAATTCCTACGGCTTAGATGGAGAGCAATATTGGGTGTCACACGAAGGGGTTTTCAAGTGCTGGATGATGAAGGTAAAGACTATTAAGATTGTCGGCTTCAGAGAAGTTGGCGAAGGATTTGCACTTCCTCTCTTGCAGTTTCTGCTCAAGAATGTCAAGGTGCTAGAGAAGATGATCATCAAAACAGGAAATTCAGGTTTCAATCAATGCTTGACATGCTCTGTATCACAAGAATTTGTTCGATTTACACAAAAATTGTTGAGCTTTCCAAGAGCCTCTCCCCTTGCTGCTGTTGTGTTCTCTTAGTGAAATCTATACAGATGGGTTGAACTTCTTGCAGTGGTTCTGTTTTGCTTATGACATCAAGCTCGCTTTTGGTTCATTTTTGGTTTTGTATTGACTAGCTCCATAATTATTTTCTTTTGGGCCACTGTTTTTGTTTTTGTTGTTGTTCAAATGTTAGTGCTTATGGGAAGTTATAAATTAGATGTGGGAATCCAATTAGAAAGCATTGATTTGCTTACTACGGAACTTACCTCAATGATCTGAATTATTTTCTTGTAAAACCTTTCGAGCATATTATCTATGTACAAAAATTAAATTGATTAAACAATTAGACTCACATAATTGTATTGTCTTTTTTAAAAAAGGAAGGGTAAAAGAATTGATTTGGTTTTTCCTCTTCAACCCCAAAACTCTTGGAAGCCATGAAGGAGACCCAATTTAGGGTTTGAGAATTTTATTTTTATTTTTTTTAAATTCTTTTTCTTTATCTTTTTGGTTGGAAATTTGGTGGCGTTTAGTTGTTGGTTGGCGTGAAGAAATAAGCTATACAAATAAGGATACAGTTTAAAAATAAAAAAAAATTGATTTATTTTTTTTATCTGTAGTGTTTTTTTGTTTTGTTTTTCAAATTTGTGTGACAAAGTTTGAAGAAAAAAAATGCACTAAGAATTTTAGATAAAAATTTGAAGGGAAAAAAAAAACGCTCAATCCAAAAGTCCAAAATTGAAGTTCTAAATCTAAAAGTCGAGGCGTTTATTTTCTCCGTCCCCAAGGACAAATTCATACAAAAAAAACCAATCTACCCACGTGTATATATATATATATATATCAGTTTATACAAGCCCGCGCAAGGTATGAGCTATTATTATAGTATATTTATGTTTTGTATTTTGATAATATTTTTTTTAAATTTCAACTATTGTTTTATGAAATTAAATAAAATAAATTATTAGATATATGATAGAATTATGTGGTATGATATTATATCATTTTTTGATTTATTATACACCCAATGATGTCGACTTCAATTCTATTAATATATCATTTTGGATGAATTTATGAGTCTTTGACATTTTTTCCGAATTTATAAAAAATAAATAAATAAATAAACAAAATTATGGTGTGTAGCTTTTCTCAACAGATAAATATAAAACAAATATTAAGATAATTCTCTCATCCAAAAAAAACTGCTAAGATAAGTTACTGCACTAACTAAAAGAAAAAGAAAATATATACATACATAAATGACTAATCTTATTAATACATAAATCATACTCGCATAACAAATGATCAATTTTATTCATAAGTAAATTAATAATTTTTAATGATATGAAAAATATTTTTCAGTTAACCATTTTGTTAATAAATAAATTATTAAGTTAATTAACAATTTTTCATGATATGAGAGATATTTTTAATAAAATATTTTGATAATTTATTATTGCATAGGAGAATAGTTTTTTTTTTCCCTTGGATATTGTGTTAAATTAAAAGTTATAACAAATGATAGTTATAATTTCTAATATTATAGGACCGATTCATATTTTAAACAAATTTTATGAGTGTATTTGTAATTTGTCAAAAAATTAAAAAAAAAAATTGTTTCATAATTGATCAAGAATATTTGCATAATTACGAAAAAATCAATTCCATAATTGACCAAGAATGTTTGCGTAATTACGAAAAAACATGTTGCATAACTGACCAAGAATATTTGCATAATTATGAAAAAAAAACCTTTACTCAACATATAAGCCACTATTAGTAAATTATTCAAAATGAAAAAACAAAATAGGAAAATAAAGACGAGTCATAGGGAAGAAAGAGCTTCTTATATATATATATGGATATATATTATATGTGGTACACAAAGCAAAACAAACCCACATTCTCGCTCTCGCTCTCTCTCTCTCTTCATCTATGATTCCACCACTACCACCATGTTGTCATCAGCGTCACCGTTAGCCTTTCTTCCTCCACCATGTGACTCCATGACAGTGACTCTAAGCCCTTGAGTTCTCCATCGCCATCGTCATCCTTGACCACCCTATCATCGTCGTCTTCATATATATGTATTTATATATATATATATATCTCGACTTCAAGTTTGATCTCGACTTCTTCATCGATCGAATCTACCATGATGACGATGACGATGACGATGATAACGACAACGATAACGATGAACTTGAATTTGGAGCCTTATACGATTTCCCTTTTAGCAATGACATACAATTAAGGTTTTGAAGCTTTACAACTGTTCCTTAACGGTCCTGTCGAATTTATCAACGATGCGATTTCGTTCTCTCAAATCGATGGTCTTCGATCAAGTCGACTTGTCGGACAACATAGTTTCGGGGTTTATTTTGAGGTGTCCGAATCTTAAGATTTTGGCGATCGATTATTGCTGGGCAATTAAGAATCTAAAGATTTGTTCGGCGAAATTGAAGGAGTTATCATAGTTCTAAATCGCGGTATCGGAAAACATAATGATATCGATTGCGGAGTATCGGTATCGGTAGTATCGACCGGTACGTATTGGGTATCGGGCGTCGTGGCTGTGAAATTTCAAAAATCATTAGCAATCCCTCTAAAACTCAATTTTATGCATTTTTTTGACTCTTTTAGCCTTAATTTATCACATTTTAATCAAAATTTTGATATGTAAAGGCACTTTTGACTCATTTTCAACTAAATGATATGTATTTATTTTAGTCTCAAGTTTTTATTTGGTACTAATATAATACTAACCTCCACCTCTCATCATAATGTTAGATATTTTTTCAAACAAAATGATTAAACGGGAAAAATATGATTCAGAATTCGGAGCACATAATGTTGGACTCCGCAAAGAAACTAATCAACACATGGGAGACTAAAATAGAAAAACAAAGTGAGACAGCAAATATAAAGGTTGATGGGTCCGCAGAGCTTCGCTTCAATATATATAAATGCTCCTAATATATATATATATATATATAAATATTTAAACAATCATAAATATATATTAAAATATATCCCATTCGCATCTCATACCATAATATAAATAAAAAAATAACCACAGAACAAACAAAGAAAAAAAATAAATAAATAAAATTATAAACCGAACACAACAACCTAACAAGCAGCCGAAAGAAAAAACAGAGCATGACAAATACAGAGCGTGAGAGAACAAACCTTCAACGAAGAAGTTTGAAATCGGTGAGAGAACAAACCTTTGCTCAATTATTTTTGCAGGTGCTTTGCTCCATTTTCAGCCGTACCGGACTATATCGGAACTGTATTGCTCACATATCGGATTCAGGCCGATACGTAATGGGAATCGGCCGCTACGAACACGAAATTCATTCTCACCGGTATACCGGTGAGTATCCGACTCGGCACTCCAATTTTTCGGTACGAACCGGTCTGTACGGCACGTACCGGCCGATATTTAGAACCTTGGGAGTTATCGCTTTGGAATTTTGTAGAGGATGAAAGTTCGATTGAGATTTGTGCGCCGAATTTGATATCAATAAGTATTGCTGGTTTTGAGATAAGAAAGTATGGTTTGAAGGCATCATCTCTGGTTTTAAGAGGAAGCTGTGTAAATGCACTATGAATCAGAGAATAATCAAAATCAAAGTCTCACTCTCTCTCTCTCTATATATATATAGATGTATGTACATGCTTGGGTTTGATAACAGGAAAAAGAACATGAAAATTATTGTCGGTTTTGTGTGCATCCAACAGGTACTAGGAATTTTTTTTAGCTCAGTTGGATTTTATTTTTTTTTTTATCTAAGATTTGTTTTTTTTATTTATTATTATGATGGTAATGAAACACAATACAACAGATAGGGAGAGAGTGCTGATCAAATGATGATAAAGAGAATGAAAAATTTGCACAAACAAAATTTGGACAGATAGAAAATTTACACAGAAACATTTGAACAAATAGAAAATTTACAAAGAACAAATTTGAACAGATAGACAAAAAACATGAACAAATAGAAAATAATTTGAACTTATAGATATAAATTTGAACAGATAACCAATAAAAAGTCAAACAGATAAAAAAATTAAAGAGATAAAATTAAAAACAAAATGTCTTTCAGAACTTCTCACCAAACTATTTCACAAAGTGTAGATCTCTGACCAACAAAAATCACTAAACTTAATACCTTAGACAATTGTTAGAGTGAATTTTTCACTAATTTTCTCAAAAAATAATTCACTAAGAACTTTTTTTTCCTGCTTAACTTGTCGTCTATATTTTAAAAGTAAATTTTTTTTTTCAAAACCTTAAAAAAAATTACTAAATACCACCAAAAAAAAAAAGAAGATAGCTTACACTCATTTTTCCTAAGGTTTGAAAAAATTATAAATAGCCCCACACTTTTATCATAATTAAATTAATTTCCCTTTTAAAAAGACTAAAAGTTGTAAATGACTTAAATAAATAAAGATAAATATATATTTTAGTACAAGAGATACGACAATGTCATTTTTTTAATAGGACATTGCTATACAAGTTAAAAAATTAGACTCAATTTTTGAAGTCTAATTATGAGATAAGCAATTAGGATATTTAAAGTAATATTTTATCTCATATTTTTTTTAGTCATCAACTAATCATATTAGTTATATATTATTGAGTCTAAAAAATGAGTCTAAAAACTGAACTTATATATTATTTTCTATTAAAGTATAAAAGAGACCAGTATAATTATATTGAATTAGAAGTGCATATGATAAGGATGTGTGTATGGGACAATTCACCCTTTTAAATTCCTAAAGCAGCATACGCACACATGAACAGACAAACAAAGAGGAACGAACTTACCTAAAAATTAATACACAAGTTGGTTAAAATATTGTCCATAAGCATTGTTGAGAAGATCTGTCGCTATGCCAAACTTCTTGAATTTGCAGAAAATTTATCAATTAAGGCATTGTAATATGAGGATCTATTACCCCACATACCAGTTTTGAAAACAATAACAAAGCACATTCACCAATGTACTTTCTTAGAAGTAAATTGCATTATAAAACATCAAAAGGGGATGCATCCCGTTTACATTTCTAACAATCAACCAAACTACCTAAAATAGCAAACTCAAAATCGAGCAATTAAGTTGGCAATAACAATTATCAAACCGAGCGATTAAGGTGATAATAATCATTATCAAATTTCCAAAATCAAGCAATTAACGCGGCAACAACCGTTACCAAATCCGAAATCAAACAATTAAAGTGACAATAACAGTTATAAAATCCAAAATCGGCTCAAATAAGATGGCAGTAACAGTTACAAAATTTATAATCTAC